GAAGGTTCAGGAAGGGATGGAAGTTTCTGGAAGGGACGGAAGGTCATGGAAGGTTCAGGAAGGGATGGAAGGCCACAAAAGGTTCTGGAAGGGATAGAAGGTTCCAGAAGGGCACGGAAGGTTCCAGAAGGGACAGAAGGGCACAGAAGGTTCCAGAAGGGACAAGAGGCCATGGAAGGTTCCAGAAGGGATGGAAGGTTCAGGAAGGAACAGAAGGGTGCAGAAGGGCACGGAAGGTTCTGGAAAGTTCTGGAAGGGCACGGAAGGTTCCAGAAGGGATAGAAAGCCACAGAAGGTTCCAGAAGGGATGGAAGGCCACGGAAGGTTCCGGAAGGGACAGAAGGCCAGGGAAGGTTCAGGGAGGTTCAGGAAGGTTCTGGAAGGGCACAGAAGGTTCCGGAAGGGACGGAAGGCCAGGGAAGGTTCAGGATGGTTCAGGAAGGTTCCGGAAGACCAGGGAAGGTTCCGGAAGGTTCCGGAAGGTTCCGGAAGGGCACAGAAGGTTCCGGAAGGGACAGAAGGCCAGGGAAGGTTCCGGAAGGCCGGGCGCTCACCTCGCAGCAGCTCGGGCTGCACGAAGCCCAGCACGTCGGCCACGCCCAGCTCCTGGCGCGCGCAGGTGCCGCCGTGGATGCGCAGCCAGGCGGGCTCGGCCAGCGCCGTGCACAGCGCCGTGATGGCCAGCGCCCCCGGCAGCGCCGACGCCAGGCTGCGTTCCCGGTGCCGGTGCCGGTGCCGATCCCGCCGGGCCCGGCAGCGGCTCCGCTTCCTCCTCACGGCCCCGCCCCGCCCGGCCGCGCTTCCGCTTCCTGTCGGTTCCGCTTCCGGCGCGGCTCCGGTTCCGGTTCCGGCGGGGCTGTCGGTCCCGGTGCCGTTCCCGTCCCGGTGCCGTTCCCGTCCCGGTGCCGCCATGCCCGAGGCGCTGTCGCTGCTGTGCCGCGTGTCCGCGCACCCCGAGTCCCGCTGCTGGGCCCTGGCCTGGAGCCCCAGCGGGGCCCTGCTGGCGTCCTGCGGCGGGGACCGGACCGTGCGGGTGTGGGGCCGCGAGGGTGAGCGGGGAACGGGGAAACCGGGAACGGGAATGGGACCAGGAATGGGAATGGGACCGGGACCGGACCGTGCGGGTGTGGGGAAACCGGGAGTGCACCGTGCGGGGGGACTGGGCTGCTGGGCCCTGGCCTGGAGCCCCAGCGGGGCCCTGCTGGCGTCCTGCGGCGGGGACCGCACCGTGCGGGTGTGGGGCCGCGAGGGTGAGCGGGGAACGGGACCGGGACCGGGAACGGGACCAGGAATGGGACCGGGAATGGGACCGGACCGTGCGGGTGTGGGGCCGCGAGGGTGAGCGGGGAACGGGGAAACCGGGAACGGGAATGGGACCAGGAATGGGAATGGGACCGGGACCGGACCGTGCGGGTGTGGGGAAACCGGGAGTGCACCGTGCGGGGGGACTGGGCTGGACACGGGGCTGGCGGGGCTCTGTCCCCGTGTCCCTCAGTGTCCCCTGTCCCTTGTCTGTGCCAGGCTCGGGCTGGGCGTGCCGCGCGGTGCTGGGGCCGGGCAGGGCTCTGTCCCTGTGTCCCTCAGTGTCCCCGTGTCCCCAGGCTCGGGCTGGGCGTGCCGCGCGGTGCTGGCGGACGGGCACCAGCGCACGGTGCGCAGGGTGGCGTGGTCGCCGTGCGGGCAGCTCCTGGCCTCGGCCAGCTTCGACGGCACCACCTGCGTCTGGAGGCGCCACGAGCACGGCTTCGAGGTGGGCACGGGCACCCGTGGCAGCCACCCGTGTGTGCCACCCGTGTGTGCCCCCCGTGCCCCCGTGCCACGTGTCGTGCCCCCGCAGGTGGTGGCCACGCTGGAGGGACACGAGAACGAGGTGAAGTCGGTGGCCTGGGCGCCCTCGGGGTCCCTGCTGGCCACCTGCAGCCGTGACAAGAGCGTCTGGGTCTGGGAGGGTGAGCACTGTCCCCTCAGTGTCCCCTCGTGTCCCTGTGACCCCTCAGTGACCCCACTGTCCCTGTGACCCCGCTGTCCCCTCACTGTCCCCCGCTGTCCCCATGACCCCTCAGTGACCCCGCTGTCCCCTCACTGTCCCCTCACTGTCCCCATGACCCCTCACTGTCCCCCGCTGTCCCCGGGACCCCTCAGTGACCCCTCAGTGACCCCGCTGTCCCCTCACTGTCCCCTGCTGTCCCTGACCCCTCACACTGTCCCCCGCTGTCCCCGGGACCCCTCAGTGACCCCTCAGTGACCCCGCTGTCCCCTCGCTGTCCCCCTGTCCCCTCAGTGGACGAGGAGGAGCAGGAGTTCGAGTGTGTCAGCGTGCTGAGCGCCCACAGCCAGGACGTCAAACACGTGGTGTGGCACCCCAGCCAGGAGGTACCAGGGACACGGGGACATGTGGGGGACACGGGGACACCTGGGGACACACGTGGGACACCCCAGGAGGTACCGGGGACACGGGGGGACACGGGGGGACATGTGGGGGACACGGGGACACCTGGGGACACACCTGGGACACCCGGTGTCCCCGTTGCTGTCCCCAGCTGCTGGCCAGCGCCAGCTACGACGACACGGTGCGGCTGTACCGCGAGGACGAGGACGACTGGGTGTGCTGTGCCACCCTGGAGGGGCACACGTCCACCGTGTGGGCAGTGGCCTGGGAGCGCTCGGGCCAGCGCCTGGTGTCCTGCAGCGACGACCGCACCCTGCGCGTGTGGCAGCGCAGCCAGGGGCACGGTGAGGGACAGGGGGACATGGGGACATTGGGGACATTGGGGACACTGGGGACATGGGGACAGCGCCTGGTGTCCTGCAGCGACGACCGCACCCTGCAGGGGTGGGCACTCCAATGTCCCCCCTGTCCCAATGTCCCTGATGTGCCTCATGTCCCCCATGTCCCTGATGTCCCCACTGTGTCCCCAGGCGCTGGCTCGGAGCACAGCTGGCAGTGTGTCTGCACCCTGTCTGGGTACCACGGGCGCAGCATCTACGACGTGGCCTGGTGAGCTCGGGGACACTGGGGACACTGGGGACACCTCATTGGGGCCCTGTCCCCTCCCTGTGCCCCCTGTGCCTCCTGTCCCCTCCCTGTGCCCCACAGGTGCCCCCTGTCCCCTCCCTGTCCCCTCCCTGTGCCCCCTGTCCCTCCCTGAGGGTCCTGTCCCGCAGGTGCCACCTGACGGGCGCGGTGGCCACGGCGTGCGGGGACGACGCGGTGCGGGTGTTCGAGGAGGTGGCCCCGGCGGCGCCGGGCTCGCCGGTGACGTTCAGCCTGGCGGCCCACGTGCCGCGGGCGCACGCCCAGGACGCCAACGGCGTGGCCTGGCACCCGCGCGAGCCGGGGCTGCTGGCGTCCTGCGGCGACGACGGCGACATCGCCTTCTGGCACTACCAGCGCCCCGACGGGCTCTGAGCACCCGGGACACCAAGGGACAGCACGGACACCAGAGGGACCTCCAGGGCACCACGGGGACCTCCAGGAACATCAAGGGGACCTCCAGGGACCTCCTGTGGCCTCCAGGATCACCCAGTGCTCTCCAGAACCCTCCCATGGCCCCCAGGACACCATGGGGATCTCCAGGGACCTCCTGTGGCCTCCAGGATCACCCAGTGCTCTCCAGAACCCTCCCATGGCCCCCAGGACACCTTGGGGACCTTCAGAGCACCTTGGGGACATCCAGAGCACCTTGGGGACCTCCAGGAGATCTCGGGGGTCTCCAGAACCTTCCCGTGGCCTCCAGGACACCTTGGGGACCTCCAGGGACATCTTGGGGACCTCCAGGAGACCTAATGTTCTCCAGAACCTTCCCATGATCTCCAGGATTTTCCTGTGGCCTCCAGGACACCTTGGGGACCTCCAGGGACACCATGGGGACCTCCAGGGACCTCCTGTGGCCTCCAGGATCACCCAGTGTTCTCCACAACCTCCCCATGGCCTCCAGAAGTTTCCTGTGTCCTCCAGGACACCTCAAGGGCCTCCAGGACCCTCCCGTGGCCTCCAGGATCACCCAACCTTCTCCAGGACCCTCCAGTGTTCTCCAGAACCTTCCCAGATGTTCTCCAGACCTTTCTCGAGTTCTCCAGAACCCCCAAAGTTCTCCAGAACCTTCCCAAGTCCCCCAGCCCGCCCCGGTGTCCCTCCCCAGTCGCGTCTGTGGGGCCGGGGCGGGTTTGGGGTCCCGGAGCTGCCCCACAGCCAATAAAGCCCCGGGTGGCCCAAAATCCCACAGGGACCCCCTGGGAGTGTGGGGTCCATCGAGGGTTTGGGATCCACCGCGGGTTTGGGATTGATGGAGGGGTTTGGGATCCCAAGAGTTTGGGGTCCAAGTGTTTGGGATTGGGGAATTTGGGGTCCAAGGGTTTGGGGTCTGGGAATCTGAGACCCAGGACTTTGAAGTCGGGGGGTTTGGGATTGGGGAATTTGGGATTGGGGAATTTGGGATCCAGGAGTTTGGGATCCCAAGAGTTTGGGGTCCAAGTGTTTGGGATTGGGGAATTTGGGGTCCAAGGGTTTGGGGTCTGGGAATTTGAGACCCAGGACTTTGAAGTCCGGGGGTTTGGGATTGGGGAGTTTGGGAATTTGGGATCCAGGAGTTAGTTTGGGATTTTGCGACGTTTTTTTTGGAATGTGGGAAAAGCTGGAATTTCCGGGCTCAGGAATCCATCCCCGTTTTCCCTCTTCCCAAAATCCCTCCCTCTCCCACCCCGAAATTCTCCAAAATCCCAGAATTCTGAACCTTTATTGCACAGACACAGCGGGGGAATCCCAAACGCTCCCCCAAAATCCCAAACTTCCCCCAAATTCCTTTGGGAATGGGATTTTGGGGATTGGGATTTTTGGGAATGGGATTTATGGGAATTTTGGGAATGGGGTTTTTGGGATTTCCCTGAGTTGTTCCCAATCCCGGGGGGGGGCTCAGAGCGGGACCCCCCAAAAGCCTCGTACCGGGGGGGGAGGGGACACTGGGGACAGCATTGGGGACACCGGGGTGGGGACAGCGGGAGTGTCCCTGGGGTGGCACTTCGGGCTGTCCCTGTCGCAGGGGTGGCACTTTGTGTGCGGGTGGCACTTGGGGACAATCCTGGGGGACAACCCAGGCCTGTCACAGGCGGACACGGGTGGCCCTGCGCCCCGGGATGTGGCAGGGACACTGGGGACAGTCCCGGTGACACTGGGGACAGTCCCGGTGACACTGGGGACAGTCCCGGTGACACTGGGGACAGTGACAGGGACAGTCCCGGTGTCACGGGCGGTCGCGGTGGCGCTTGGGGACGGTGACGCGGGTGGCCCTGCGCTCCGAGATGTGGCGCCGCACGCGGCCCAGGGGCGGCTCCGGGGCCAGCGAGGGACTCGAGTGGCACTTGGTGAGCGGCGCGGGGACGTGGGGACCCTCGGGGATGTCCCCGAGCTCCGCGCTGTCCCCGAGGGCGGCGCTGGCCCCGCTGTCCCCGCGCAGCCACGTCCCCAGCGCCTGCACGTAGGTGAGGCAGCGCTGCCGCTGGGGACAGGGACACGCGGGTCACCGGGGTGGCACCGGGGTGGCACCGTGTCACCCACGGGGCACCCCCCAATGTCACCGTGTCACCTCAGTGGCACCTCCCAGTGTCACGGTGTCACCCTGTCCCCATTGTCCCCACTGTCCCCACCCCTCCAATGTCCCCTGTGCCACCCCAGTGTCCCCACTGTCCCCATTGTCACCTCCTGGCGCAGGAAATTCCTGTGTCCCCAATGTCCCTGTGCCACCTCAGTGTCCCCACTGTCCCCATTGTCACCTCCTGGCGCAGGAAATTCCTGTGTCCCCAATGTCCCCAGTGTTCCCAGTGTCCCCATTGCCTCCAGTGTCCCCAATGTCCCCAATGTCCCTGTGCCACCCCAGTGTCCCCACTGTCCCCATTGTCACCTCCTGGCGCAGGAAGTCCCCGTGTGCCCGGTGTCCCTGTTGTCCCCAACGTCCCCAATCCCCCCACTGTCCCCAATATCCCTGTGCCACCCCACTGTCACCTTTTCCCTCAGGACGTCCCCATGTCCCCACTGTCCCCATTTCCCCTGATGTTCCCTCTGTCCCCATGTCCCCGGTGTCCCCAGTGTCACCTCGTCCCTCAGGAAGTCCCCATGTCCCCAGTGTCCCCAGTGCCACCCCGTGTCCCCATTGTCACCTCGTCCCTCAGGAAGTCCCCGTGTGCCCGGTGCTCCTCCTGCTCCCGTGCCCGTCCCTCGGGCAGCAGCCGCTGGTGCTCCAGGAGCTGGCACGTCACCGTGCCCAGCCAGCGGCGCAGCTGGCACTGCTGCTGCTCCTGGGGACAGCGGGGACATCGGGGTCACTGGGGACAGCGGGGACATTGGGGACATCGGGGACATCGGGGTCACTGGGGACAGCGGGGACATTGGGGACATTGGGGACATCGGGGACATCGGGGTCACTGGGGGCATCGGGGTCACTGGGGACAGTGGGGACATTGGGGACATTGGGGACATTGGGGTCACTGGGAACATCGGGGACACGGGGGACACTGGGGACATTTTTGGGGTTTTTGGGACATTTGGGTTTTTGGGATATTTTTATGTGGTTTGGGGTTTATTTGGGGTTTCCGTGGGATACGGGCTATTTCAATGGGGTTTTTGGGTTTTCACGATGTTTCAGTGGGGTCCTTGGGATCTCTTTATGGGATTTTGGGGGGTTTTGGGGTTTTTAGGATATTTTTTTGGGGTGCTCCTGACCGGGGGGCAGCGGCTGGGCGCCGAGGGCAGGATGGGATTGGGGTTCCTATGGGGTTTGTGATATTTCAATGGGGTTTTGGGGTATTTCTATGGGGTTTGGGGGGGTTTTGGGGTATTTAGGATATTTCAATGGGGTTTTGGGGTATTTCTATGGGGTTTGGGGGGGTTTTGGGGTATTTAGGATATTTCAATGGGGTTTTTGGGTATTTCTATGGGGTTTTTAGGATATTTTTGGGGTGTTTTGGGGTGCTCCTGACCGGGGGCAGCGGCTGGGCGCCGAGGGCAGGATGGGATTGGGGTTTCTATGAGGTTTATGATATTTCAGTGGGGTTTTGGGGTATTTAGGATATTTCAATGGGTTTTGGGGTTTTTAGGATATTTTTGGGGTGCTCCTGACCGGGGGGCAGCGGCTGGGCGCCGAGGGCAGGATGGGTCTCACGAAGCGGCGCCGGGAGCCGACGGCCGCGGGGAACGGCGGCGAGGACGAGAGGGCGGCGGCCACATTGATCCCAAACACCCACTGGGACAGCTCCAGGGGGCTCCTGTGACGTCACCGTGACGTCAGCGGTGATGTCATCAGTGACGTCACGCCCGCCACACGGCACAAAACCCCCAAGTATTGCAAAAAACCCCAAATAGCCCTGAATGAACCCAAACAGCCGCACAATACCCACAAAGGTGCCCCCAAAAATAGCCCAAGAAAACCTCTAAAAATCCCCCCAAACATCCCCAAAAATAACCCAAAAATATCCCCAGAATACCCCTAAAAATACCCCAAAAATCCCCCAAGACTATCCCCAAAATTGCCCCCAAAATACCCCAACTTTACCCCAATAATATCCTAAAAAGGCCTCCAAAAATACCCCAAAAATATCCCAAAAGTTTTTTTTAGGATTTGAGATTTTTTTTTTTTTTAGGATTTTTTTAGGTTTTGTTTTCTTTTTTTGGTAGGATTTGGGACTTTTTTTAGGCTTAGGATCTTTTCAGTTTTGTTTTTTTTTCTTTAGGATTTGGGGGTTTTTTTAGTATATAGGATTTTTTTACCATTTAGATTTTCTTACCCTTTCTGAGCCATTTACCTCTTCAGGATGTTTTTTAGGATTTTCCATTCCTTTAGGATTTTTTGGGACATTTTTTAGGCTTTGAGAGATTTTTTTAGCATTTAGCCCTCTTTCAAACTTTTCTAGAATTCTGCATTTTTTTCCCACACTTGGGACTTTTTACCCTTTACCCTTACGGGATTTTTTTTGGGGGGATTTAGGATTTTTTTTTAGGATTTCCTCCCTTTTTCTCCCTTCTGGGGTTGGGGTGCCTTACGGGGCCTGGCACAGGAACTCGCGCCGGTCCGCGGTGCGCAGCAGGAACACGTTGGGGCGCTTGGTGTATTTGGGGTGGGGCCGGGCCAGGGCGTGGGGCAGCCCCAAAACCTCCTGGGGGCCCTCGGGGGGGTCCCTCTGCAGCACCAGGAGGGGCCCCCGCAGCTCGGCCCTGAAACGCTTCCAGCCCCGCCGGCCCCAGGGAGCTGCGGGGGAAAACCCAAAAACGGTGAGATCCCAGAATATTCCCAATAAAATCCCGTTAAATTCCCATAAATCCCGTTAAATCCAGCCCAAATCCCATTAAATTTTCATAAAATCCCATGAAATTCCACCCCAAATCCCATTAAATCCACCCCAAACCAGCCCCGCCGGGCCCAGGGTGCTGTGGGGGAAAAAACCCAAAAAATTATGGGGGAGAGAGAGAAATCCCAATAAATCCCATTAAATTCCCACAAAATCCCATTAAACTCCCCCAAAATCCACCCCAAATCCCATTAAATTCCCACAAATCCAGCCCAAATCCCATTAAACTCCTCCAAAATCCCATTAAATTCCCACAAATTTCCATTGAAATCCCTCAAAATCCCATGAAATTCCCACAAATCCACCCCAAATCCCCCAAAATCCAGCCCAAATCCCATTAAATTCCTATAAATCCCGCCCAAATCCCATTAAATCCCCACAAATCCAGCCCAAATCCCGTTAAATCCCCACAAATCCAGCCCAAATCCCGTTAAATCCCCCCCAAACCCCACAAATCCCCCAACCCCCCCACCGACCCTTTTTGCCGTCGCTCTCTGCCAGGACCTTCCTGGCCAGGACCCCCCTGCGGGCGGGGCCGGAGCCCCCCAGGAGCTCCGGGGGAATTTCGGGATTTGGGAATTTCGGGGCTTTTTTGGGCTTTTGGGAATCGGCTCCGGGCTCGTCCTCATCGTCCCTGGGAAAACCCCCCAAAAAATCCCATTAATTGGTGGGGAAAGGGCAGAAATCCCCCAAAATCCCATAAAATCCAGCCAAAATCCCATAAAGTCCAACCCAAATCCCACAAAATCCAACACAAAATCCCATAAATTCTGCACCAAAATCCTATCAAATCCAACCCAAATCCCAGAAAATTCAATCAAAATCCCATAAAATTGGCAGCAAAATCCCAAAAAAACCCATAAAATCCAACCCAAAATCCTACAAAGTCCAACCCAACTCCCATAAATTCCCCCTCAAATCCCCCAAATCCCATAAAATGGAACCCAAATCCCCCAAATTCCCCCAAATCCCATAAAATGGAACCCAAATCCCCCAAATCCCATAAAATGGAACCCAAATCCCCCAATCCCCCAATCCCCGCTCACGTTGCCCACTCCAGTTTCCGGCTGCGGATGGAGCCGTACAGAGCCTGAGGGAGAAAAAATCGGATTTTTTTAGGGTTTTTTGAGATATTTGGGGATTTTTTAGGGATGTTTTTGGGATTTTTGGGGGTATTTTTTGGGGATTTTTCTGGGATTTTTTCCAGATTTTTCTGTGATTTTTTTTTTATTTTTCTGTGATTTTTTCAGATTTTTTCTGTGATTTTTTTTTTATTTTTCTGTGATTTCTTTTTTTATTTTTTCTACGATTTATTCAGATTTTTTCTGTGATTTTTTTTAGAATTTTTGGGATTTTTAAAAGATTTTTTAAGGAATTTTGGGGGAATTTTTTTTAGGTTTGATTTTTAAAAGATTTTTTTAAGGAATTTTTGGGGAATTTTTTTTAGGTTTTTTTTTTTTATTATTTTTTAGGATTTTTTTGGGGACCTTTTTTAGGATTTTTTAGGGTCACACCCCCCATTTTTAAGATTTTCCCACTGGTTTTTTTTTTTTTTTTTTTTTTTTCCTCATTTTTTCTTGTAGGAAACCCCAATTTTGGGATTTTGGGGGTTTTTTTGGGGGTTTTTTGGGGTTTTTCTGGGGTTTAGGATTTTTTAGGGTCACACCCCCCATTTTTAAGATTTTCCCACTGGTTTTTTTTTTTTTTCTTTCTCATTTTTCTTGTAGGAAATCCCAATTTTGGGATTTTGGGGGTTTTTTTGGGGGTTTTTTGGGGTTTTTCTGGGGTTTTGGGTACCTTGAGCTGCTCCCGGGGGAAGTCCTGGCCGTCCATCATCCCGCTCAGGTTGGTCACGAACTCGGAGCTGCTCATGGCCCGGCCCAGGCGCTGCGGGGTCACCCAAAACGGGGAAAATGGAATTCTGACCCAAAATCACCCCAAAAACGGGGAAAAATCCCAAAATCTGACACAAAGTCACCCCAAAAACGGGGAAAAAATGGAATTCTGACCCAAAATCACCCCAAAAACGGGGAAAAATCCCAAAATCTGACACAAAGTCACCCCAAAAAGGGGGAAATACCCCAAAACCGACCCAAAATCTTCCCCAAATCCATCCCAAAATCCCAAAACTGCCCCAATTCCATCTCAAACCCACCCCAAAATCCCCAAATTCCCAAATCCCAAATCCATCCCAAATCTTCCCCAAACCCAAAACCCCAAAATCCACAAGTCCCCAAATCCCAAAATACAGAAATCCCAAAATCCCAAAAGTTTTGGGGGTTTTTTTTGGGGTGCTCACCTGGCCGTGCAGGTCGGTGTTGAGCAGCATCAGGGCGCAGGTGAGGGCGTGAACGGAGTCTGGGGGGATTTGGGGTTTCAGGGGACCCCAAATCCCCTAAAAAGGGACCCCAAAAGGGGAAAAAGGGGTTCGGGGTTTTGGGGTGGATTTGGGGTTTGGGGGTTTTGGGTTTGAGGTTTTGGGGTTTAAGTTTGAGGGTTTGGGGTTTGGGGTTTGAGGGTTTTGGGGTTTGGGATTTGGGATGTTTAGGGTGGGTTATGTCTCAGCAGCAGAAGGAAAAGCCCCGGGGCTGCAGCAGGGATTTGGGATGGATTTAGGGGATTTAGGGTCGGCTTTAGGGTCAGTTTTAGGATCTCAGCAGCTGAGGGAAAGCCTCGGGGTTGCAGCAGGGATTTGGGGTCGGTTTTAGGGTCGGTTTTAGGGGATTTAGGGTCAGTTTTAGGGGTTTTAGGGGTTTGGGGTTTGGGGGTTTTGGGGTTTGGGGGTTTTGGGGTGGGTTTGGGGTATTTAGGGTGGGTTTAGGGTGGATTTGGAGTCCCATCAGCAGAAGGAAAAGCTCCGGGGTTGCAGCAGGGATTTGGGGTCGGTTTTAGGGTTGGTTTTAGGGGGTTTAGGGTCGGCTTTAGGGTCAGTTTTAGGATCTCACCAGCAGAAGGAAAGGCCCCGGGGTTGCAGCAGGGATTTGGGGTCGGTTTTAGGGTCGGTTTAGGGTCGGTTTTAGGGGGTTTAGGGTCAGTTTTAGGGGGCTTGGGCTCTCACCAGCAGAAGGAAAGGCCCCGGGGTTGCAGCAGGGATTTGGGGTCGGTTTTAGGGTCAGTTTTAGGGGTTTGGGCTCTCACCAGCAGAAGGAAAGGCCCCGGGGTTGCAGCGGTGGAAGCGGCTCGAGAAGTGCCCCAGGACTCGCTCGCGCTCCTGAGTCTCCCCCGAGAGCACCAGGGCCCGCAGGAACTGCCTGCAGCACCCCAAAAACCCCAAAAACACCAGAAGTGACCACAAAAACACCAAAGGTGACCCCAAACCACCCCAAAAACACCAAAAGTGACCCCAAAAACACCAAAAAACCCAAAAGTGACCCCAAAAACACCAAAGGCGACCCCAAACCACCCCCAAACCACCCTGAAATACCCTTAAAATACCCCTAAACCACCCCAAACCCAGCCTGGAATACCCCAACAATCACCCCAAAAGTGACCCCAAACCGCTCCAAAACTGACCCCAAATCATCCCAAAAATGCCCCAAATCGCGCCCCCAAAAATCCACCAAATTCTCCCAAAAGTGCTCTCAAAAATTCCCCCAAAATGCCCCCAAAATCCCCCAAAATATCCAAAAAATCTCCCAAAATCCCTCCCAGAAATCCCCAAAAATCCCAGAAATTCCCCCAACATCCACCAAATTCTCCCAAAAGTGCTCTCAAAAATTCCCCCAAAATGCCCCCAAAATCCCCCCAAAATCTCCCCAAAAATCTCCCAAACCCCTCCCAAATTCCCCCCAAAAATCCCAAATCCCCCAAACTCCCCCAAAAATCTCCCAAAATCGCCTCCAGAAATTCCCCCAAACTCCCAAATTCCCCCCAGAATTCCCGTTCCCCCAAACTCCCGAATTCCCCCAAACTCCCGAATTCCCCCCAGAATTCCCAACCCCGCCTGCCCAGCTCCCACCTCAGGGCCTGCTCCAGGCTCATCCCCTGGAACTGGAAGAGCTCCAGGTACTCCCGCGCCACCCGCGAGCTGAACTCCGTGCTGGGGGAGGAATTGGGGACACAAATCCTCAGCTCCCACCCCAAAATCCTCAGCTCCCAAAAAACCCCCAATTCCCAAAAAACTCCCAAAAAATCCCACAATTCCCACCCAAAAAATCTTCTTTTTTCCCCAAAATTCACATTTTTTCCCCTAAAATTCCCATTTTTCTCCCCCTAAAATCCCCATTTTCCCCCCAAAATTCCCATTTTCCCACCGTTTTGCCCCAAAATTCCCATTTTCCCTGAAACCCCCATTTTTTCCCTCACAAAAAACCCCCAATTCCCAAAAAACTCCCAAAAAATCCCACAATTCCCACCCAAAAAATCTTCTTTTTTCCCCAAAATTCACATTTTTCCCCCTAAAATCCCCATTTTCCCCTCCCAAAATCCCCATTTCCCCCCCAAATCCCCATTTTCCCCCCAAAATTCCCATTTTCCCACCGTTTTGCCCCAAAATTCCCATTTTCCCTGAAACCCCCATTTTTTCCCTCACAAAATTCCCATTTCCCCCCCATTTCTTCCCAAAATTCTCCATTTCCCCCCGCAAATCCTCATTTTTCCCCCCAAAATCCCCATTTTCCCCCCAATATCCCCATTTCCCCCTCATATTCCCATATTTTCCGCTCAAATTCCCATTTTCCCCCATTTTTCTCCCCAAAATTCCCCATTTTCTCCCCAAAATTCCCCATTTTCCCCTGAAATTCCGAATTTTTCCCCCCAAAATCCCCATTTTCTCCCCCCAAATTCCCATTCCCCCCCATTTTCCCCAAATTGTCCCTTTTTGCCCCAAAGCCTCACTCCTTGCGCAGGAACGAGGCCACCTGGCTCTTCCTGACCCCGTCCAGGCGGAAAAGGCGCCGGGCCAGGGCCACGGGGTCCTCCCTGGGAGGGGGAAATGGGGGAAAAATGAGAATTTGGGGAAAAATGGGGATTTTTGGGTGAAAAATGGGGATTTTTGGGAAAATTTGATGGTTTGGGGCGGGAAATTGGCAATTTTGGGCTGAAAAACAGGGAATTTCTGGGGAAAAACTAGGGGGGAAATGGGGATTTGGGGGAGGAAAAAATAGGGGGGGAAAATTGGAATTTTTTGGGGGGAAAGATGGGGATTTTTGGGAGGGAAAAATATGGGGGAAGTGGGGGGGAAATGGGGGTTTTGGGAGGGAAAATGGGAAAGGTTTTGGGGTCCCTCTTTTTGGGGCCAGTCTGGGAGGTTTTGGGGTCTTTGGGGTCCCTCTTTTTGGGGCAAATCTGGGGGGGCTGGGGTGGTTTTGTCCCCCTGTTTTTGGGGTAAATCTGGAGGGTTTTGGGGCCCCTCTTTTTGGGGTAAATCTGGAGGGTTTTGGGGTAAATCTGGAGGGTTTTGGGGTCCCTCTTTTTGGGGTAAATCCAGGGGGTCCCAGGAACTGGGGGGCTCCTCCAGGGGGATGGGGGAGTCCAGCCCCCCCCGTTTTGGGTCCATCCATTTGGGGGGGTCCCCAAATTCCAGGGGTGGATCCAAGGGGTCCCCAAATTCCGGGAGGTCCCCAAATTCAGGGGGGTCCCTGAATTCCGGAGGTGGATCCGGGGTGTCCCCAATTTCCGGGGTTCTGGGTGGTCCTGGGGAAGGAGATGACACCAAGGGGGGTTCCCCAAATTCCAGGGGGTCCCCAAATTCTGGGGGATCCCCAAATTCCGGAGGTGGATCCGGGGTGTCCCCAATTTCCGGGGTTCTGGGTGGTCCTGGGGAAGGAGATGACACCAAGGGGGGTTCCCCAAATTCCAGGGGGTCCCCAAATTCTGGGGGATCCCCAAATTCCGGAGGTGGATCCGGGGTGTCCCCAATTTCCGGGGTTCTGGGTGGTCCTGGGGGAGGAGAAGACACCAAGGGGGGGGCTCCCATCAGGATTGGTGGGACCCCCCCCAAATTAACCCCAACCCCCCAAAATCTGGGGTCACCACACTCACCCCATTCCGAGGGGTGACACCCGAGGGTGGCACCGTGGGGGCGCCAGGGGGGCACCCCCGGGGGCAGCGGGCGCTGGAACAGGGGGTTGGTGTGGAAATGGGGCTCCTACTCCTCATCCTCATCCTCATCCTCATCCTCATCCTCATCCTCATCCTCATCCTCATCCAGCTCCTCCTCAAGGTCCTCCTCATCCGGGTTCTCCTCATCCGGGTTCTCCTCATCCAGGTCCTGTTCCAGAAGGTCCTCCTCATCTTCATGGGAGGAGGCACCGTGGTCATGGTGGCCATGGTGGTCATCGCAGTCATGGTGGTCATTGAGGTCCTTGTTGTCATTGCGGTCGTGGTGGTCACTGTGGTCATTGTGGTCATCACAGTCATGGTGGTCATCGTGGTCATGGTGGTCATTGAGGTCATGGTGGTCATGATGGTCATCATGGTCATGGTGGTCATCACGGGCATTATGGTCATTGAGGTCGTTGTTCTCATCGTGGTCTTGGTGGCCACTGAGGTCATCATGGTCATCACGGTCATTGTGGTCATCGAGGTCATGGTGGTCACTGAGGTCATGGTGGTCATCACGGTCATCGTTGGCGTGGTGGTCGTCATCGTCGTCGTCACCTTCCTCTTCCTCCTGGTTGAGTGTGGGGGTTTGGGGTCTGGGGGAGATGGGACCATCGGTGGCCACAGCCTTGGACAAGCTGGCCACTTCCAAGGCCACGGTCTGGGACAGGATGGCCAAATCCATGGCCGGGTGCTCTGCAGAGAAGGTCCCGTGTGTGGTGATGAACTGGGGTGAGGTGGCCCCGTCCCTGGTCACGGTCTGGGGTGAGATGTCCCCACCCCTGGTCCCTGTCCCTGATGAGATGTCCCCACCCGTGGACGTGTGGGAGGTGTCCCCACCCACGCTGACGCTGGGTGACACGTTCCTGTCCCGGCGCTCGGACGGGTCGGTCCCATCCGTGGCCACCAGACCGGCTGGGGGGGTCCCATCCGATGTCACCTGGCCACGGGACGTGTCCCCAGCCATGGACACGATGCTCCCAAAGAGGAACTCAAAGCTTTGGTCCATGGGAATGGCCTGGGGTGGGATGGACTCATCCATGGACGCCTGGAAGAGCTCCTCAAACGTGGATCCACGGCTTTGGAGCTCCTGGGAGACGCTCCCACCCACGGACATGGATTTGGGTGGGATGGAACCGTCTGTAGGCACCTTGGAAATGATGTCCTCATCCATGGGCAGGGATTTGGGTGGGATGTCCACACCCATGGACATGTTGAGGATCTCCTCAAACGTGGATCCGTGGCCTTGGAGCTCCTGGGAGATGCTCCCACCCACGGACATGGATTTGGGTGGGATGGAACCGTCTGTAGGCACCTGGAGAACATTCTCATCCTCGGCCATGGGTTTGGGTGGGATGGAGCCATCCATGGGTTTGGGTGGGATGTCCATGCCCACGGACACCTGGAAGAATTCCTCAAACATGGATCCATGGCCTTGGAGCTCCTGGAAAATGCTCCCATCCGTGGCCGTGGGCTTGGGTGGGATGGATCCCTCTGCAGACACCTGGGAGACGTTCCCATCCATGGGCAGGGATTTGGGTGGGATGGAACCGTCTGCGGACGCCTGGAAGACGTTCTCATCCTCAGCCATGGATTTGGGTGGGGTGTCCTTGTCCATGCACACCTGAAAGATCTCCTCAAACATGGATCCACGGCCTTGGAGCTCCTGGGGGACGCTCCCAGCCCCATCCCGGGGGTGCTCCCGGGGGTGCTCCAGGTGGTCCCCAGTGTCCGTCTGTCCCTCGATGGCCCCCTGGAGCTCCTGGACACAGAGCTGAGCGCGGAGCAGGCTGGCCCAGAACACGTCCGGGACCGCGGCCGGGGCCGGGGCCAGAGCAGGGGTCGGGGCAGGGGTCGGGGCAGGGGTCAGCAGTGTCCGTGCGGGGGTCAGTGCAGGGGTCAGCTCAGTGGTCACTGCAGTGGTCAGTGTCCATGCAGGGGCCAGAGCAGGGGTCAGCGCAGGGGTCACTGCAGTGGTCAGTGTCCGTGCAGGGGTCAGCTCAGTGGTCAGTGCAGGGGTCAGCAGTGTCCGTGCGGGGGTCTCGGCCCCTCCCCCCGAGAAGGCGATGGCGTCCAGCGCCGGCAGCGCCGCCGGGGGGGCCGGGGGGGCCCGGGGGGGGTCCATGGGCACGGCCGGACCCTCCTACGGCCGGAGCCGTGAGCAGGGGGCACTGCCGGACCCTCCTGTGGCCAGAGGAGTGACCATGGCGTGGGGAGACCCTGGGGAGAGGGAGGAGAGCGGTGGGTGAGGGAGAGAGAGGGGAGGAGGGAGGGAGAGAGGGAGGGAAGGGAAGGGAAGGGAAGGGAAGGGAAGGGAAGGGAAGGAGGAAAGGCGGGGAGAGGGCAGCGGGGGCGAGGCGGGAGAGAGGGAGGGAAGGAGGAAGGAGGAAGAGAGAGGGAGGAAGGAAGTGCTCAGAGGAGGGAGCGGAGGAGGAGGAGGAGGAGGAGGAGGAAGGAAAGCGAGGAGGGGGAGGGGGAGACGCAGTGGGAGGGGCACAGCGAGGGCGCCGGGGGTCTCCCCGACCCTCCCCCCTCCCGGCCACCTGCAGCCGCCGCCGTCCCCCCGCGGCCACCCCTGTCCCCTCCCGGTGCCACCAGCGAGTGCCACCACCCCGTCCCCTCCCGGTGCCACCTCCCGGTGTCCCGGTGTCCCCGTCCCGGTGCCACCGGCCCTGTCACCCCCCGGTGTCCCGGTGCCACCTGCCCGTGCCCCGTGTCCCCGTCCCGGTGCCACCGCCCTGTCACCTCCCGCTGTCCCCGCGGCCACCCCGCGTCACGTCCCCGTGCCACCCGCGTCACCCGCGCCGCTTCCGCCCCGCCGGGACAGGAAACGGGGGGAGGGGACCCCAAAATCACCCCGGAACCCCCAAATCACCCCGGGATCCCAGAAATCACACCGGGATCCAAAAAAACTCCCGGACCCAAAACAGCCCCGCGAGCCCAAAATCCCAGCCGGGACCCCAAAAAAACTCCGTGGTACCAAAAAAAAAGGAGCCCAAAAAGAAGAAAACGGACCCAAAAAACTCCGGGATGCCCCCCCAAAAAAGGACCCAAAAACCTCCGGGATCCCAAAAAAAACCGGACCAGAAAAAACTCCGGGATCCCAAAAAAAAAAAACCGGAATCCCGAAATCCATCCTGAAAACCCAAAACAGCCCCGGGACCTCAAAAAACTCCCGGACCCCCCAAAAAACGGGGACCCTTGAAAAGCTTCGGGACCCCAAAAAACTCCCGGACCCCACAAAACCTGGGACCCCAAAACCCCACCCGGGAACCCAAAAATCGCACCGGGACCCCAAAGTCCATGGGGGACCCCAAAAAGGGCGGGAGAACCCCAAAAGTTCCGGGGGCCCCCAAAGGGGGGCAGAGAACTTTGGGGGTTCCGGGGGGACCCCGAAATTCAAGGGTGACCCCACAAGAGACTCTCACAACCCTGCGGGGACCCCAAAGTTCATGGGGGACCCCAAAAGGGTCGAGGTGACCCCAAAATTTACCTCCCCCTTCCCTTACCGGCAGCGCCGCGCGGGGCGTGGCCCGGGCGACCACGCCCACAAAGGGGAGGGGCATTTAGCTCATTAGTATGCAGGACACGCCTATACCATGAGGCCACGCCCTTCACGCGCGGACACGCCCCCTGGCATGAGGGGAGGGGCGGGCAGGCGTGGGGATGGATGTGTGGGCGTGGTCTGGTGTGGACACGCCTATAAGGGGAGGAGTGAGAGGGGTTATTAGCATGAAGGACACGCCCCTTAGATTGAGGCCACGCCCCTTTGTGTGAGGGGAAGGGGGGGGCTGGCGGGGGCGGGTCCCAAAAAAGAGCGCCCCAAAAATGGGTTCTGACCCCAAAAAAGGGTTCTGAACGCCCAAAAAAGAGTTCTGACCCCATAAGGAGAGGGGCGTCCCAAAAAAAAGAGGGCCCCAAAAATGGGTTCTGACCCCAAAAAAGAGTTCTGACCCCAAAAAAGGGTTCTGACCCCAAAAGGAGGGTCTGACCCCATGGGGGAGCTGAGCCCCCTCACAGGGCTCGGGCCCCACAAGCAGGGCCCTGTTTTGGGGCGGCTCCCGGCGGCGTTGGGGCGGATTCTGAGGCGAATCCCGCAGGTTTCGGGTGGGCTTTGGGCCGGGGCTTAGGGCGGTTTTGGGGCAGGTTTAGGGCAGGTTTAGGGCGGGTTTAGGACGGGTTTAGGGCGGGTTTAGGGCGGGTTTAGGGCAGGTTTAGGGCGGGGGGCGGGCTCAGGGCGGGCTCAGGCTCTGGAGCGGGCCCATGGCGGAGGCGGCGCAGGGCCGGGTGCAGGCCGCGGTGGAGAGCGCGGTGCAGGGGCTGGAGCGGGAGCAGATCCGCGGCATGCAGGTACCGGGGACACCGGGGACACGGGGGGGACACGCGGGAGGGGCCCGGGGCACCCCCGCACACACACGTGGGTGCCCCGGGCAGCGCCGGGACCGGCCCCGAGACCCCCCAAATCACTGGGACCCCCCCCAAAATTCACTGAGACCCTTCTAGTTCACTGAGACCCCCCCCAGTTCACTGAGACCTTCCCATACACACCCTGGGGCCCCCTAAACACACCCTGTGCCCCCCAAGTGCATCCAAATGCCCCTCCAGTTCATCTCCTGTACCCCCAACACGCCCTGTTAACCCCCGTGTCCCCAGGGTACCCCATGTCCCCAGGTGCCCCCTTTAACCGCCTGTCCCTGTGTCCCCAGGGTGCCCTGTGACCCCCGTGTCCCCTGTTGCCCCCCATTAACCCCTTGTCTCCCATGTCCCCAGGGTACCCCGTGTCCCCAGGGTGCCCTGTTAACCCCATGTCCCCCGCTGACCCCGTGTCCCCGTGTCCCCAGGGCGCCATGTTCCGCTGCAGCGCGCGGTGCTGCGAGGACGCAGCGGCCTCCATGCAGGAGGTGCAGCGCTGCATCGAGCGCTGCCACGCGCCCCTGGCCCGCGCCCAGGCCATCGTCACCGCCGAGCTCGAGCACTTCCAGGTGAACGGGGCCCCGGCACCCCCGGGGACGGCACCGGGACCCTGGGCAGGATGGGAGCCCCCAGTCCCTGCACCCCCCAGTGCATTCCCTGTGCCCCCTACAGCCCTTGTGATCTCCATCCCGGGGGCTCTGGGGGTGATGGGGTCACTAGGGGGGCTCTGGGGATGGTGAGGGGCTGTGAGGGGATGGTGGGGCGGGTGGTGAGACACACTGCAGGTAACGGGGGCACGGGGGATGGTGCTTGGGCACTGTGAGGTGTGCGGGTGTGGGGCGTGCAGGTACAGGTGTGGGGTGTGTGGGTGGTCCCGCACTGGCACACGGGGGTGCACACGTGGGTACGTTACACACACAGATGTGGGTACATTACACACGCACACACGGGTGTGCACACGTGGGTACGTTACACACACAGATGTGGGTACATTACACACGCACACACACGGGTGTGCACACGTGGATATGTTACACACTCGAGTGCGCACCCGGACCCGCGCCTTGCCCTGGCCCCGTTTCCCGCCCCGGCAGCGCAGCCGCTCGGCTGAGCGCGGTACCGCGCCGCGGGCCGCCATTGGCTGCCGGGGGAGCGGCGCGGAGGCGCGCGCGGCTGCCATTGGC